TGATCTATAATCATAGTTCCATTAAAAGCAAATTTGACTAACTAGAGAGAAACAGAAGTTTGCGGCTAGAAAACTTCATTTTGTACAGACGATTCTATAATCGTAGACTAAGTTAGCCGTGAACTGATTTGCTTAAAATCGACATATGGCATCATACAATATTTATTTGCTAGAGAAATAAGCTGAAAGGCCAGTTCAAACTCCGAAAATCTCGCGGAGTCACAGATGAAAAGAAGAAGGGCCAACACTTACCTTGGTTGAACGCGCCAGAGTCGGATTCGGTTAGCTCTTTCGCGTAAGTGAACGGCTACAATTTGCAGCAGATCATTGAGGGATGCCGTTTTAGGGACATTTATTCGGCGCGTGGCCAAGGTCTCTAGGTCACACAAGTCAAACCCCTTTAACAGAATAAAAGGCATATTGAAGAAAGAAGCCCAGATTAAAGTGTAAAGACTGTAAGCAACGATGACTTCAAATTCAGAATATTACCCGGAAGACTTTAAACCGACGTCAGCGAATAAATTCTACATATGAGTTTATGAATTAGTGACTGCGGCAACAGAACGCCAGAACGCAGACAGGACGTGGAACTCATTAGACATAAACCACTCACTGGAGGAATGGGATTCAAATTGTCATTGAAATATACAAATACTTGTCAGATTAAAAAAAAAAGAAGTGACGAAGACCCTGAAACATAAATGCTGTGACTCGTTTACTTCCTGTCGCCTATGCAGTCGACGTGAACGATCTGTTATGGCCAAAACACGATAAAGTAGTCGCCGATTAGTAAGCCCACCTTCGGCCAAGACCAAATTGGGCTTAATAAGCGGCTGGGCCTATTAACCGTGGGCTAAAAACCGTAGTCGCCGGTTATTAAGCCCACCTCGGGCCCCGACCAAATTGGGCTTAATTGGGCTTATTAACCATGGGCTTAATAACCGGCGACTACTGTATTTAGCAGGTTTGCTTTCTCATGAAATATTAACCGAAATTTTGAAATGGATTTCTGATTTGAAAAGTTTACCTAAATAAGGTTATAATATTAATCGTCGTACAGAATACTCCTAAGATATGTCAGTGACGTCAGTGTTTCAGCTTTTTAAGGAGCTTCTTTTTGATGGCCTACAAGAAGCATGTTCTAAAAAAATGGCAACATGAATTTATCTCATTGACTTTCGATGACCTTATAAATTTAAAATCTAGTTCTTATACTCAGGTGTTAGCAAAGTACGTCTTCTTCAAAATTTGCACCTAAAAAGCCATATTTCGGTTTAAAAAAACCTGCAAGTGCCGAATAATTGTGAACTCGACCGGTCGTTACAACCGCACTGACAGTTTTCAAACTACATGCTGCATATATAAAGGCATATATCATATGCGGAAGACGTCATATGACACTCATAAGCGTTTACAATTGATGTATATTATTGTGTAGGTTTTATAAGCGGCATTGACAAATGGGCAGATAAGATTCTCTATAAATGGACACTTCAACATTAAAAAATCTCATAATTAGAAACTTTTAAAAACCGAAAGATACCCCGTCTTAGGGCACACAATTTGACTGAACTATCTTGGGATTATTTCGCACGATAAGTTATAGTATAATTATATTTATGTAATTCTTTCGAAATAAAAAAAATAATAATTTCAGATGATGAAATTCTATAAGATTCCGACGACTAAAAATGGCTGCCAGGTTTCGGTCAAGCTACTGATTTTACGAAACCGCACGGTGCATAGACAACAGCACTATGTTACCTATTCCAATCAGACCGACTCACGACTTTCCACTGCTCTACCCAAAATGCTCAAGTGAACTATATAAAGATATTTCTTTCGGTATTTGCTTTAGATGGTGCGCTCAACTCCAAGCGACAGAACGGGTGTCCGAAGTCAAGGGTTTTCAGGCAGAGACTCAAGGTATCCTAGTTTGTGGCTACAGCGACTGAATAATTTACCATACTGAAAACCCGGACACGCGGGATTTACCAGTTTTGTGCCAGTGCATGACGGAACTCATAAGGGTTTGCCGTGAATTGTCTGGCATACTAACTCTGGTTTCAATGCTGTCCTTTTGGTTCCTTCTTCATAAAGGTTTTCATTTGGGCTACTACCTGAATTTCAGTAGACACTTATATTTACATAAAAATCGACCAGAAAACCAAAGGGGAGCCAAACATTGGCATTCAAGGTTTACAATATTTTTCCGCTACTTTCGAAACCTCCAGAAGATATTCACTTAATGGGTAGTCTGCATTGTTGCTGGAAGACAGGCGTGTTTTTAAATGTGGCTTCCGGCAACTCGGCATGTCCAGGGATGGCTGGTCGCAAAATAAACTGACTGTTGGTCTGGACGGTAAGAAATTGGGGATAAGTAGCTTGGAGTCTAGTACGTCGACTGCCCTATAAAACACCATGGCATAGCGATCGTGAACCACTAGTAAAAACGTCCTGATCCAACCAGCGCTACAGTCAGGTTTAAACGTGTCAAATCGTTAGGGGAGAAAGCCTAGTGAGGAGAGTCCAGGCGGCCAGAAGAGAGGTACTACTAACGAAAACCCCGGACAACTAAAAAGAGCACTAACAGTCGCAATTAAGGCCGTGTCATGCCATCAGCAGAAAACACAAAACGAACCAGGATGAAAAAAATACAAAGTCGAAACACATTTTATGGAAACCTCTGGAATTGAACTTCATGGTTTAAGTACAATACACTCAACCTTACATAAGACTTGACGTTCTATTACTTTGGCCTCTGTTTTCGCGAAAAGACCAGGGCTATTAGAAAATTTAGCTTCTTTGACGGGGAACTGCCGGTATAGATTCGATTTCACGGGTGACTAATTGGTCAAAGCCCAAAGGTGAGTAATCACAGAAATGCCTTCTCAATAACAAATTAGGGGCGTAGTGTTTCTGCATGACGAGTTTGTGCACACTCTCAGTATTGTCAATAAATGAAGAATAATGAAATCTCTGTGGAGCAGGACGGGACGTGTTGCGAGGCGGACTGGATTACTAGTGTTAGAATTTAAAGGGGCACATTGGAAAAACCTGATTCCTGCGTATGCAGGAAAGAAAGTTTAATTAACCAACCCGAACAGTATAGTATATTGTCAAGTCGTGTAGCGTAAGCAAAAATCGGGTTGGTGAAGGTCTACCATTGAGAAATAGCCCATTAAAGTTCAAATTCCAAGCTGATGAACACAAGTCATAGAAAAAACTAACATCTCCTGTACAGCTAATTCCGCTTAAGAAATTCATCTTGAAAGTCAAGTCGGGGGAAGCGGGTGGGTGGTGTACTAACCTGCCAACCGTAGAAGTCTTCCTCTAGGACCAACAAGACACAGGTATAGAGATGGGACTCCGCTTTCGCTCGCCTGTGGTCTGCCTCGATGAGACGCTCCTCCTCCAGACGACCGATCAGAGACTCGGGTATGTCGGTACTTGACAGAGGTCGCAGGACAGTTGGAAGGGCAGATCGGCGAATATAGACGAGCATGTAGGCATTCGTGCAGTGCTTGAACATGTAACCATGCTCATTGTCAGTGCCGCCGTAGTTCTATACGAAAAGGCAATTAAACGGTGAAAGGTGAAACCGCCGGGGTGTGGACTCTGGAACAGATGGCTT